AAACGAAAAAAAAAAAGAAAAAAAAAATAGAAAACTGCAAGGCGAAGCATCTTCTCGTAACAAAAACGAGTTCACACTTGGCGATACATACTTATCTTATATCTCAAAGGATCTATATTTATGAATACCAAGCGAATAAAAAATATTCCTTTTTTACCCACCCTTACTTATATACCATATTAGCACATTTATGTCGACTTTATAAAACAGTCATATATATATATATTTATATTTGACATCTTCTTTTAATTGTTTTACACTTACCAATATTTTGTTTTTGTCTAACTGCAAATTTCTTAGTTCACAATTTTCCTAACTACTTTATTTCATTATTCAAGGTACACACGACATTTCCTCTTCAATAAAGTAGATTAAGAAACATGTTCTATAATCACTTCATAAAAGACGCAAAAACAGTTTGTTTATCAAAAACAACAAAATCACATAAATTTTAAATAAAATATCTTATTCCTTTAACAAATTTTTTTTATCTAAATAATTTTGTTTTGATACTTATGTGTATATTTACAGCGTATAAGTGCCGCGTTGTATTTATAAATGCACTTAAAATTAATTTTATAAAAAACTTTCAACTAATTGCTGTTCTCAGATATGTCCAAATACTATCGAAGATACGTTTTTGTGTACAAAGTGTATAAAGTGAGCTAAGCAATGAATCAATTAAGATTCGTATGCCTGTGTTAGTACAATAAAACCAAATTCAGTCTCAGAAGAGTCAGGTATAGCTCAATAAAGTTGGAGTAATTATAAATTCTCGTTAGGTACGTTGGTAAATATAATTATTATATAATATTTAAATAGTTATATTTACAACAGCTTTAGAGCTAGTAACAACGGAAATATTTATAACATTTTATACGAACAATGTAAAAAAAAAAACGAATTATTCACATTAACACTATTTTATGTACGGAAAGATTCTTCCTAAGCTAGGCATATTTTTCTGGTGAAAAGCAAGCAATTTTCTGATGGAAAGCAAAGCAATATTTGATTATTCAAGATAACTGCTATTTTTCAAAGATCGAGTATACTGGAAAACGAAACAAAAAACTTGTTAAAATAACATTAATATCTTTTATATTATATATTGAACATCATTTAGCTCATAAATGGTTGTATCACTTTTATTCCTCGACACTTAATATTAGCCTAAAAGGTTTTGTATTGGGTTATCAAGTATAGGTACTTGTTTCAATACCTTTTATAACAGATCACATGAGCCGTGCTAAGCTGTAATGTCATCGAAAATTGGATTCAACGGATGGCCGCGGCGAACATTTGAAAGAGAAAATCTTCAAAAAATAAATGCCAAAGAAAATTTTTTCGACTGATAATAAACATGCCTGTCTTTTTTCTTTAAAAAGTAGGGAACGTTGAAATATATCAAACCCTTTATATGCTTATAAACATTCTATTCACCAACTGAAATAAAAATGAATATACGGGACACAAATTGGTGCTCATGGTTACAAAATCCATATGCCTTTATTTAAACTCTTAGTTTCTGTAATATATTTGTAATAATAGTATTTAAGCTCGTGTCAACATTTAATTATGACGAAAATATCTGTATAGATTATTTAGGCTGTAGATTTTTAGTTAGAAATCTGCATTTATTTTTGTTGCAGTCAGTGTATCTCGTACTCTTATAAGTATTAAGACGATATGAGAAATATCAAAATGTGTATAGGGCAGGCTTGCGAAACTTTTTGTTACCATGGTTATCTTAGCACATTATAAGGGCTCATCAATTCAATTATAAATATATTGAATGTGCACTTCTTTTTATGATATGTGCATTTCTTATATTATATTTTGATCAAACGTTAAATAAAAAATACAATTTTTTTTAATATTAAAAAGATATTGCCCCCCTTTTTCGCGCACACAAACATCAAGTTATTCCCACTTTAAGGGTCCTTAGAAAGGTCTCAAAAATTAATAAAAATAAAACGTAAGAGTTTCATAAAACGGTACAAACTATCAGTGTAGGTAAAAGGGAAGGTGAGACATAGTATTTGCCAAAGTTATTTCCTCAAAATGAACTCTGTAATTAATTAGGTGATAAATTTAGCAATGATAAAGCAATGTGGAATATTTGTTTATCCTTAAATACGGCGATTCAAACAAAACACAGATTTTATGAAAGCTTTGACTGGGAAAATGAAGCTTGGAAAACTTTCTTGATAACCAAACCAACCAAATAATGAGGAAGTTGTGAAGATATGCCTAGAAAAATAACACATATCCCAATTTAAACTATAAACAGAGGAGAGAGCTGTTCCACTAAAATCTAAAAATTATGAATAAAAGTAACAAGGTTGATAGGATCGTTCTATTACGGATATTTATAGGTTATTGCTTATTATTTAAAAGACATTGCTAACTGGAAAATTATAAACTAAAATATCATAAAATGGCTTTAATTGAGATACAACAGTTGTTTTGGACAATTTTTATTTTTTTACTTCGACATACAATAAAACTTGTTATTTTTGTAATGTAAAATTGAAAACGTAGTTTTAAAAACAAACGAGAGAAAATCTTATACAAGGTGTGTTCCAAAGTAAACAGGTAAATAGTAAACTTTTTGAAACTAGCGCCCCGTGGTGGCGCCATCTATATGTCGACTGGTGTGTTAGAATCTGCTATCTTTATCGACTGTCCAGTGGGAATTTCATGACATTGAATGGACGTGAAGTTATTGCGTTTTAAGTGTCAGTATGTTTGTGTTATCGGTGCGAAAATGAGCTTCGAACAAAGGGCCAACATTGAATTTTGTTTTAAAATTGGTAAAACTTTTACCCAAACCTTTCAATTGATGAAAAAAGTTTAAGGCGATGGTCGTGAGGACATAAATAACGATAAACATGTGGGCCAATGAAAATCCGTGGTCACCAGAAATTCCATCGATACTGTGCGTGAATTCACCAAAATTAGCCTAAATCATCATTGAAGTTCATGGCAATGGAATTGAGCATCTCCAAAATATCGATTTATGTATGTGCACGGCTTGTTCCGCACAAATTGACTGACGATCAAAAATTGCTCAGAATCCAACATTCGAGGGTCGCTTATATGATGAAAAATCAGATTTTAATCATTAACCACTCGCTGATGTAGCACAGTGCGACTTCTTTCTTTCCGGAAAAAATTCATTTGCCCATGAAAAGAAAGCGTTATGCAGACGTAGAGACCATTCAAAAGGCTTACATACTGGCGACCATACCGGCCAATTAGCTAAACACTCATACGGCACGCTTTTGGACCGTGCAAAAAGCTGTATTGAAGCAGAAGCGAGAAAAGCGATATATAGCGAGGTGGATCTCTTTATATGCGAAGTAGTCTCTCTGCTTTTGAGATATCTGTTTCAAATTCTGCTCCCGTCTCTCTCTCTCTCCACAAGGGGCTGTTCTGATTTGATTACTTGGTTTGTTATACGTTTTTTGTCAAATTAAGCTTTACTAAAAAGTCTTACGATGACAATATATATATTTTTTTTTATTTCTGGAATGCGTTACAAGCTGTTATGTTGACAGTCCAAATTTTTCAAACGGCTAGTCTTAGCTGCGGTTTGTGATTCTTTGGATTAACATATACTTTTTTATCTTACAATCTGTTATTGACGATAAAAGCTTTAATTTTAAAATTTTAATCCGATTTTTCTTATTAAAATTACACATTTTCTATTTCAAATTGGAAAAATGTATTTTTAATGATTATTTAAGGGATCACAAAATTAAAAGCAAACTTTAATTTAAATATTAATTCAATAAAATTTCTTAATGCGTTATATGCTACCCTGATGTAAGCGGTATTCAATAAAAAATCAGAGAAACATTTTTTATGTAGAATAATATAACGATCTGCCTAAACTGACTATGGATATGTACAAATGAATACCTTAAAAGGTGTTGCCACATGATAAAAAATTTCGTATTAATGATATTTTGGAGCATACATGATCTGTTTTGTTATATACAATCACGAATTTTTTATGCGAAATTTTTCACACACAATTGTAATGTTATTTCGTGCGTAAAAAGCCGATTCTTAAAAGAAAACACATACAAAAAGAAAAAACGAAATTGCATATTTTGAAAATATTAAATTTATTAGAAAATTATAATTAATTACTTGCTAGCATAAAGTAATTAAAAATACATGCATCACGATCTTTGGAACTCTTTAGATCTGAATCGAAATATGTATGTATCTATGTACGTAATTGTCGATGAATAAATGCGCTGGTAGCTTAACTAGCAATTAGCAAAATAAATGCAAACTTAAGAGTAACACAGTAAACTAGGCGCTAAAAACTATAGAAACTAGTTAGTGTAGTTGAAAAATCAGGAAACATATGTTACAAAAGTCAAATGATTGAAAAGCTAATTACAAAGTGAGTACACAAATTAAATCAATAAATCAGTGCAAATGTCGAGGTGAAAGCAGAAAGTTGAATGCTGAGAGGCGTGGAGCGATGTTCGGCTTGTTCACTTTTTATCACAATTACGTATGAAAAATTTCTTTATCTGCTAGAAACCACTACGCCCGCCGCCACTGCGTCCAGAGCCAGCCGCACCACCGCCGCTTGAGCCAAATGCGCTTTGCGGCACGAGTATGCGGGGCAAAGTCAACGAACGTTTGGGTATGCAATGCTTGAGTGGCGAAAATGGTTGCGAACGCAATTGCTCTTCGGAAGTGCTCAGTTTGCACTCTCTTTCTGCGGCTTCCGCCATGGTGCCGCTAGTAGGCGTTGAGACTTCCGCCTGTGGTTGCGCCGCCATTTTCGCGCAATCACACGCTACGTCAATTTGATCGCTAGCAGCAGACTCTGTGACATGTTTTTCGTTAGGCGCCACCATTTTCATGCAATCACACTCTTCTTCTTCCACTGCATAGTCGTCCATGTCGGCATCGAAGGAGGCAATCGGCGCCGTAGCTGCAATAACGGCGAGCGTAGCGTTGGAGCCACCAAATGATGGCCATTGTCACGCGTATGACTGTGCGGTCTGCGGCATAACACCGTGTGTGTAGGGAGCAACGCCAACACCACCGGCGCCATGAGCATCGAGTCCGTTGCCTGTGCTGCCGCCACGTTCCACCAGATTTTTGAGACGGCCGCGTAATTCTTCCAAACTCTTCGACTTGGCCTTGTTGATACGTTTATATTTGACATCTTTGGGTTTGGTCACCGAGCGATGGTTGGACATGACCCGATTGTAGTTCGTTACCTGCGATTTAACGCCAGGCGAACTGCCATCGACATCAGTGCCCGCCAAAGTGTTGACCCGCTCAGTAGTCGGTGTGGCAGCTGTGGTGCGCAGCTGCGGCACCATGACACTGTACGCCGTGTAGCCGTCCTTCGTCGGTGACTCTAGAGGTTTGGAAATGCTGAGTTGCCGTTGCGGTGATGGAGGTGTGATGCGTATATTCTCTTGGGTACGCTCCACGTCGGTACCGTTAGTTTGATGCAATGTGGTATGTGTCGAAGCGTGCGCCGGTGCATGTGAAGAGTTGCTATCTATTTGTCCTTCCGTGGAACTCGAACTCAGCGCTTTCTCGGAGCGTGTGCGGAATTTATCACGTTTCTCTGCCACATCTGATGTTGGTTCTGGATCTTCCTCTACAGAGTAGACAGTCTCCAATATTTCCGGGCGGCGCAGGTAGCAATTGTTGCGACGCACTGCACTGTACTTCAAATTCGTCTCGATGGCATCGGAAATAGAGCGCACTATGGTTATGCCATCGCCACCGCACTGTGTGGCATTGGAGCCCATGCCAACACCTGAGCCGCCACCGCTGCTGCGTCGCCTTGCGCCAAAGGGCATATTACTGCTATCCGAGTCGATATCTTCCAGCACCACAGCCGAGTCGGAGTCGTTCAATGAATCCAGCTCCGTGGTGAAGTTCGCCTCGATAGCATCCAGGCCGTGATCGGACAGACGATTCGACAGTGTATCGATAATCTTTTGCTGTCGCTGTATGGTGAGCTCGCGATGGCCCAGCAGGCTCGCAATCTGCTTTTGTCTACGCTTTAAACGCGACTCCAGCAGGAGAAGTTGTGAGGTCAGCGCGTTCAACTGATCCGACTTCTCCTTTTGGTAGCGATAGTGCTGCTGCATCTGCGGAACAAAAGAATGCATTTCATTAATGTCATTTCAAGGCAAAAGTAGTAAATGTACAATGTGCGTCACCTGTAGCCCGTATGCCTTCCGCCATTTCATTATGTGCTCCGCTTGATAGCGCACCTTCGTACGCAACTCCTCGATCATGAGTCGCGCCGTGTGCAGGTCCTTCGGATTCTGATTCATCATGTTCAGGCGCAGATTGCTGGTGTGCGTGCTCACCGGTATGGGCGGCCAGTGGAATTCCACCTGTGGCGGTTGACTTGCGTCATTCGGTAATGAGCCCCGCGGTTTTGGTGTTAGCGGTTTGCTGGTCGCGTCACTGATAGCTGCGGCTAGAATGCCAACACCGCCGCCACTCATGCTGCTATTGCTGCCGCTGTTGCTGCCACCGCCGCCCATTTGGCTGGCTATGTTGTTCGTATTGCTGTTGTTGTTGTTTGTGTTATTGTTGGCGTTTGCCATTGCAGTTACAGCCATGGTGGGTGGTATCGCAGCGGCTGCCGTTGCCGTTGCTGATGCGGTTGTGTGTTGCGGTTGAGTGGGTTGCTTCTGCACGCTGCATGCCATTGTTATAGTTTTAGCAAGTTGCGTTGCACGTTGCGTTGCATACATTTAGGCGCGTGCTTTAATTTAACTTTACTTTGTTGCTTTGTCAGCCGTTGATTGGTTGTTCGCGGGAACTCGTCGCTTGCGGGTGTATGTGTGGAGTAGCGCTACGCAAATATTGGCTGCGTGTTTGACATGAGTTGATGCTGAAATGAAAAGAGCGAAAAAAGCGTTTAGAAATTGTTGATGTTGACAGAAGGCTGTGGGCATGACAGGGTTGCGTGTAATTTCGTTTAAGTTGCCTCTTCTGTATACAAATTTGTTTGTGGATTGATTTGAGTTTCATTTCATTTAAAAAGTAAACGTAATATAAAATTAACAAACACAATTCAAGACGAAATTGTGTTGACACCTTCTTATCCTACATATAGGTACTGTGAAAAAAAAATACCCATAAATAAAACGCAAAATATTCAATTTTCATCAATATTTATTTTGTTACCTCCAAGGTAGTTCCCACCAGATATAATATACTAATGCGTACGATTCTTCCAATACTCGTAAATTTTTTTTGGCATATTTTGGGATGGCCTTCAGCTCCTTAATCGAATTGTTTTCTCTTCGATATCTTTGATCAACTGAAAACCGAAAATTCGGTTTGTAGAATAAGAATATTTTATCATCTTCTTGATATTATTATTATAAGTAGCTGGTTGCTGTAGATCTGTGGTCGGGAAAAAGTAGGGAATGGATGGAGTTGAATTTTTAAGGACACAAATTTACGCTTTTGTTAGTTTTTAGCTTGCCACAAAATTCTATGGACAACTGTATACAGAACAGACAGAAAAAATTTGACACTGATCCATTTGCTTTCGAGAAATTTCACAAGCAAATTTTAAAAATATTTCTTTGACAAAAAAAAAAACGCTTTTAAAGATCAATTGGTTGAGCTGTTTAAGCTCAGCGGCTACACATTAAAAGGTTGCAACTCTAAAACTAATAGAAAGTTCGATTTAAAATTGTATTTTGTTACTTTTAAAGTTAGAAATCCATTAATTGTTAGGGAACGAAATAAAGCGGAAAATATGATTGGTTCAAACCATTTTCTTGCAAATTCTTAAATATGATTTGGCAGCACATAGTTTTTTTTCAGAATTTGTATATGTATATGTAAATGTGTGTTTAATACAACCAACATGTTGTGATTTCTACTTTGAGTTCAAGGTATAAAACTAACGAGATCTGCAGCGAAAAATTACATGCGAAATTTGCGCCTTTTTCCTCCATTCTCTAATGACAACCTTTGACATTTGAACGCTCAACTCCCACGACCCAAACTCCCTTGGAATGGTAATGTCAGCAAACGACTAACGCCAATTCACACGTTGTAAGAGAGAAATTGATTTTTACTTCTCCAGTGCAAAGTAGAGCATCCCACAGAGACCTAGGCACTAACTTCATGGCCATGGCAAACCGTTATGTCGACATATGTATATTTGCATAGCTCTGTGTGTGTGCTAGTGCAAATCATTGAATTAAGTCCGGGTGGTATGGACGCCTGTGGCGGAAATAGCAATCAAATCACAGCGACAATTCGCTTGGGAATCGGTTTGTTCGTAATTAAATAAATTGGGTATTGGTCTCGATTGAGAAGTACAACGTCAAACATACGGACGTATGTAAAAAGAGTCGACATATGCGGAAATCGAACATATGGAACGAATTGCTTGGAAAATTCGTTAGCGGTGTCAAAGCAAATACGACTTATGAGCTTTGGTGCTCGAAAGAAGGTATCATTTACGTATGGGTGTATGGAGAATGTATTCGTTAATTAGAAAGCTCCATAATAAATTGGTTTGTCGAAAAAAGTCTTTCCGTTTTTAATCAAATTTTAACTTATTTTTTTACCATCTTACCATCATGTACCATTTTGGACCCTTTTTACTATTTTTCCGAAGATACAATATTCCATCAGTGTAAATCGAAATTTTCCAGAACGGAAGCTAGCGAACCATTGTTGTGCTACACGAATTGATACAGCATCGTCTCCGTAAACTTCACAAATTTCATTGGTGGCTTGAGTTATATTTTTCCCTTTTTTATACAAAAATTTCAAAATACAGTGAGTTTCTTCATTATTTTTACTCATTTTTGAACAGCTTCAACTTTTTTTCAACTTACCCGAATTTAATTTTTTTTTGGATACTTTTCCAACATATATTTTATGATACAATGTGATAGGCAGCAGTGGAGATATACGACTGCAACGACATCTATTGACTAAATATGAAAAGACTTTTTCGGCTACCAATATATAATTAAAAATAGTTTATGTTTGCATTTTTGGTTTTGCATAAAGATAATTTAATAAAGTAAATAAATTGTACCAAAAATGCATTGCCATTATGTGGGTAAGCAAATATTGAAATAATATCTCTATGTCAAATTCGTTATAATTATTTCCAAACGGCAGCTAAAATTGCATATCAGTGAACTTATTAAATAAAATCACGCCTAAATAGATTTAGTAACAGGAAATAGAATTAAAATCACCACAGCGCAAAACAAATATTTCATATGCAAAATTTTCAATAATCTAATGTAGTTTAATATATGCGAGACTATGCCATCATCATATTATGAAGCCACCACACACACTTTAGCGCATAAATGTCCATGTAGTGGACAACAATCCAACCACAAAAATGCTTTGGTTTCACAGCCTCACGCTAATCTGTAAATAAACGCATATTTTCGTGTCATTTACCGCTTGTTGGCAGCCATCGCAAGCAGGCCAAGCCGAAATTCCTGCCACCATCGCTGCGCAGATTGTGCGACACAGTAGCACCGAATTGCAGGCATTTGTATTGGCACCGTAATTGCGTTTATTGGATTGCGTATGTTATGCAATTTGCAAACGTGCACGTACTTCGCACACAGCGTAATAAAAATCATTGCATATTAATGGGCGCTCAAACAATGACAGCCTGCAGCAGGGGGGTTCGTGGCGATGCGGGTAATTAGTTGAGCGCATAAATGAAATAAAATTAATCCGATTTATAGGTTGACGAGTATTTTTAAAAATAAACATGAAGTATACAGGGTTATAGTATGTAGCAGGGGTTCCCATGCAAGTTTTAGTAAATCTCCATATTAGGTATTTTTATGGATTCCAAATATGATCAAATTTTTTATAAGTGATATTTGGGGAATGAAGGGTATAACTTAGTTCAAGCAACATTCACGGCGTAAACAAGGGAAAATGCTAGAATCCCAATGGAGAAACTATCCAATTCAAGGTGACCGGGCCAAGGATGCCCCCTCTGGCTGGCTCGTCGGATTTGGAGATGCTAGCGATTTTGCTCTAACCAGCACCGAAGCGAATCTGATGATTAATGGGAGGACAGATACTCCTCCACTAACTTCGGTCACACAGATAGTGCCCTCAGCGCTAATATTATCGCTCTGCTGTCGAAGTGAATGCCTATCTATCTGAAATAGGTAGCATTTCGTAACGGTAGGCATCACGTTAATAGCAGTCACTTCTGCCAAAAAAAAAATATATATAGTATATGGGTAGCCTAAAGCTGAGATTAATGGAGAGCCCTCCATGCAGAAACTTTTCCTCAAACCCACCTTCATCCGTGAAAATGCCCACTGCGGCTCTACTCACATAATCCCTATCCACATAATCCGTCGATATGTGAGCAGAGAAAAGCCGCCACGAGCAGGGTATGCAACGCAATGACCCCAGTTTTCAGCAATACAGTTGAGGAGCGTAAGATTTCTGCATGCCCTTGTTGGGATCCCTTCATATACCAAGCTTCGCTGAGCCTTTGAGTGCGCTTAGCAACAATGAACCTGCCGACAATGTCCACGGGTGTTATATGAAAAATGGTATTAAGTGTTGTTGTTGCAGACTAGATATGTTGCCCCCAGATATCTATGATATTCATACGTTTCACACAAATATATCATAGAACGTTATTGGCTGGACTATATTACTCTAAACCACCACTTTTGGTGCGTTTATTCACTTTTTCCCTATAGCACCTCTACAGCAATATAAGGAAAACGATGTGCTTCTTATTTTCTCTTTAATATACCTTTAAAGCTTGTTATCAAGAAGCTGATATCTGGAACTCTGAATATTACGTCATATCGCAACCCACATTCATTAAATTTCATCACATCATACGATGTCACTAGGCATGTGATGTGATAAAATATGATGATAAAGCCACTATATGACATCGTCTGATTTTTGACATCACAAAGCATATGATGATAATGGATTTATCATCATAATATTTTATCACGTCACATGCCACGTGACATCGCGTCGCAATATCACATCATATGTCATCTTAGGAGAGACACGTCTGGGATGTTATAACTCCTGGTAAATAAAACCATTTTAGTTTTACTTGAGTGGGCACCTAAACCACTTCTATTCTCACTGTTGAATACTAAATTGAAGTAGGTTAGCTCGTAGAGGGTATGTACACATTTTATTTTAACCATAACCACAACGTCGTGAGCATAAGCTGTCACCTTACAAAGTGTGAACATTAAATAGTTATTTTAAGTGAACCTAAAGGCTTTGTTAAGAAATGCTTCATATATTTCATATATTCATAATTTCTTATTTTCATATTGCTGAGCCTGGCGTAGTAAATAATATTGCCTTCATATGATATACTTCATACTTCCTTCTCGTAAGTAAAGTAAATATTGCCAAGAACGCAGAAGGTATACATATTTTGTGGAAAACTTTGCATTGAAGGTAACTCCTAAGAAAATTTTAATGTTACTGTAGAAGTTTGCCAATAAGAACATGTTCTACTATATAATAATATTGGGTAGTCGAAAAAGTATTTTCGTATTTTGTCAATAGTTATCGTTGAAGTCATATATGAAATTTGTGAAGTTTACGGAGACGACGATATATCAGTTCGTATAGCATAGCAATGATTCACTCACTTCCGATCTGGAAATTTCGAAAGTGGTCGATCAAAATGGTACATATTTGTTTATTTATTTATGAGTATAAATATAAAAAAATAAGTTGAAGTATGATTAGAATTACGAAAAGACTTTTACGACTATCCAATATAATTTGCTGCCAAAGTTTTACTTTTTCAATTTGAAATACAGTGGAAGATAGCCAATTATAACAGTTTTCTATTATATAATACATGTATAT